ATGTTTTTAGAGCATGAATTACAGCCAAAAGCTCTTTTTCATGGATGGGGTAATTCATTTCGGCAGGGGTCATTTTCTTTGACTCATACGCTACCGGTTGTTCACCGATTCTTTGGTCTTGGCTTAATACAGCGCCTACCGCAAAATCGGAGGCATCCGTTGTCACCACGAATGGTTTTTCAGGATCGGGCATTGCTAAAACCGGGGCACTAACTAGTGCGTTTTTTAATGCTTTAAACGCGTTATCTTGTTCAACTCCCTATTCGTACGGCTGATTTTTGTGTAAAAGCGTCGTAAGGGGTATTGCTAATTGGGAATTGTTAGCTATGAATTTCCGGTAGTAATTTACTAATCCTAAAAAAGAATGAAGTTCATGTATGTTTTGAGGTACGTTCCATGCTTTGACCGCCTCTACTTTCTTTGGATCAGTCATAAGCCCTTCTGAGGACACTATATGTCCTAAAAATTCAACACTGGTTTTTCCGAATTCGCATTTGCTAATTTTTCTGTATAGTTGGTTCTTTCGAAGCAACTTTAATACCTGGTTCACGTGCTTCACATGATCCTCTCGTGATTTGCTGTAAATCAAAATATCGTCGAGATAAATTATTACAAATTTATCCAAAAAGTCTCAGAATATATCATTCATTAAGTGCATAAAGGAAGCTGGTGCGTTCGTCAAACCGAACGGCATTACTAAAAATTCATAATGGCCGTATCGTGTACGAAACGCTGTCTTTTCAATGTCCTTTTCCTTAATGCGTATCTGATGATATCCAGATCGCAAGTCGATTTTACTAAAAATTACAGCACCAGTGAGCTGATCCAGCAAATCGTCCACACGAGGAAGGGGGTACCGATTCTTTATTGTAGCTTTATTCAAAGCCCTATAGTCTACACACATACGAAGGGTACCATCCTTCTTGGCTACAAAAAGCATCGGGGCTCCGTAAGGTGATGTACTAGGACGGACTATTCCTTTTTTTATGTATTCGTCCAATTGCTTCTTTAATTCCCTTAATTCATGGAACGATAACCTGTAAATAGGACCGAACGGAGGTGTCACACCTTCTTGAAGAGTAATTTCATGGTCGACACTTCGTTTCGGGGGTAAGTTGTTTGGTAACTTCTCTGGAAAAACATCTTGATACTCATCCACCACTTTTTTTAGGAATTCCGGAATATCAATTCCTTTATCATCTGTTGTATTTTTGGTGTTTACGGTTAATACTGCAAACAGCTCAGCATTTTGTTTGGCTTTCTTGGCCAACTGATTTTTCGAAATCATTACTGCGGCAGATTCGATAGGCTTTCCGTTAGCATTAGCATTAATGTTAAACACCTTTTGGTCCTTCCATACGGAGACTTTATTTGTTTTCCAATTTATTCAAGGATTATGGTCATACAACCATGGCTTTCCTGATATTGCATCGTACTTTTGTAACGGTAAGACTTCCATTCTATTCCTACATTCCTTCCAAGAGTACATCTGGATTTCCACATTTAATATATGGCCATGTGATTCACAAGGTGTCCCATCGGCTAATTCTACTACCGACTTTTCTTCTACACTTTCGTTGATCATTAATTGATGTGTTTCTACAAATTGGGTGTTAATGAAATCCTTAGAAGCACTAGAATCTATCAAGATTAAGGCGTCCTTTTTACCGATCTTCCCTTTTACCTGTAGGAGTTTTTCTTTCTTTTCACTACAAACACTAACTTCTTTTTCTATCAAGTTCGCTTGCTCAACATTAGCATTTGTGCTTGAAGAAGTCCCGGGGTTTGAGGTTTGTTTGTTGGGGCACATTTTTACTATATGGCCCTTTTGTCCGCACTTGAAACATAGCCCATTTTGTCTATACTCCTTTTTCCTCGTATTTCTTACAACCTGTTTACCCTTCTTTATTTTTCTGTGAAATTTTCTCACTTCGGTCCTATCGAGTTCCATTGGTATCACTTTATTATCTCCTGGACTGCCAGCTTTGGAGCCGTTACTTCTAATTTCTTCGGAGACTAAACTTCCCATTCTACCGACAACATACATTGCAGTATCATACGTCGTTGCTAAATGTATTGCATCCTCAAGACTTTCAGGTGCTCGGTAACTGACTTCGGCTTTAGTTGCTAGTTTCAAGCCTTCTATGAAGTTAAGTATTTTATTTGCTTCATCCATTCGTTCCACTTGACCCAAGATGTTCCTGAACTTTGAGGCGTACTCCTGCACTGTTGAGGTTTGTTTAATATTCCTCAATTGTCGCCTCAAGTACTGTTGATGTTGTGGGGGTTGAAACGCCTGCTTTATTTCATCTGCAAAACTTTTCCAATCTTCAAACAGACTCTGTGCTTTGTGAGTCTGAACCTTGTTAAGATACCATTAGAGCGCCGCATCCTTTAATCTGATTATTATATACTGTAACCGTTCCTCATCTTTTATCTTGCGCACTTTATACAGTAAGTCAACTTGGAGTAGCCACATCGCAATATTTTCTTTTTCCTTCCCGTGAAACACGAGCAGTTGAACTGTCAAACCTTTTGCCTGTGATGGTGCCTGAACATAAGTTACTCCATCAACTACAGTTCGTTCTTGGGCGTTTTGTTGTTGGAGGATTTGGGTGAGTTGTGTATTAACATTTTCCTGGTTTGTCATGAACTGTTCAACAAACTCGTTGAATTGTTGTTGAGACATGGCAATCCGATCGTTTGTGGATGTATTAAAGTGATCAATACTTTAAAAATTTTGTCCGCTGCTACCAAATGTAACCGTGTAGATAAACACGCTCGTTACTTAAGAAGTTGTTTTTTTATTTATCATGAAAAAGAAGCGTAAGAATCTTTATTTACTAATTGCTTCTCTTTTATATGCCTTACATACAATAGATTCTTACAAATTAACTATTTGACTATGACTATATTTATTATGCGTATTACTAATTAATTTCTCTAACTACAACCCCACTTAATTGATATCGTCATTAATTACATTATTAATTTCCAGTGCATGATCACGATCGATGATTGTGATCGTATCATGTGAGCATGATAAATACCGGTTTTCTTCTTTTAATTTATTACCCGATTGTGCATTAGTTGCCTTCTTGTTATGAACCTGATTATGATCGATCTCCGTCCCTTGCATGTAATTGTTACCAAAACTATTATATCTGAATCGATCATCGTTTCATAAATTTAACCCGTTACATGATCCCTTATATTTATTTGGTTGCTTCATTTGGGCTTTATGAAACTTATACATTATATTATGTTTTACAACCTCTCAATACGAGTTGGTGAGACTAAGGTTACAGGTGCTAACCTGATCAACATGTCATACAGTTTTACCATAACACATTTCTGCAAATTCAAATTTCGTTGCCGGTGGGATTCGAACTCTTGTCCTGCCGCTTGGGAATGTGACAACTTACCAACTACACTAAATCACTACACCTTATTGAGCTTATAGTTTCAATATAAAAGAAACAAAAAATAAAAAAAAAAATTTATTACAAATACAAAAGTATGGGATATATATAGTCTTTTATTTGCTTATATGTAATGATTTGCAAATTAAGCAGCTATTATATAAGCATAAAAATATATACTGTAAATACTGCATTATAATACAAGCTAGTAAAATTAATAAAGTTTTGTTAAATTTAGCAGGTTGTGATATCGCAGATTAACACATATATATTTTAAAAAAAAATAAATTTATTATTAGTTAGGATTAGTGTTCAAGCTAGTATTAGGATTAGAGTTAGAAGGCATATTTTTATATACAAAATTAAGTATTAAAAACTTTTAATTATATAATAAAATTTTAAGATAATTAAAATTTTGACTTTTCGTATTATTATTTTACAATCAACTCTTCCTGATGATCCTCTGGTCAATAACAACAAAAATTGAACTACAGCAAAATATATAGAAAAGCAATGAAGTAGATACTAAAACTTG